GTATCGTTTGCAAGATGTTTAACTGTTCTAAGCCCCGAAAGGAGAGGGGAAAAACATTCATGCTTCATTCTTTTGAAAAGTATTAATATTATGTATTTTTTCTTGCTTCTATCAACATATAGACGCTATGCTACACAGCAATGCACCCTCACTCTCCCTCGAGTGGGTGTCTAATCTGCCCAGCGACCCTACTTCTGTCACGAAAAAACTTCCTATGGCTGAGAGGAAGCTAACAACTTAAAATATTATGCTGTGTGGAAAGATGGGCTGAGAGGAATACCTGATCTGCCCTCTGAGCGTGGACCTCTTCGTAAAAATATAATGACCCAGGACTTGACGATCCAGTGACTTATACATGTGGCCAAGTCAGCGCACGAGAGATGATTAATTAGTGTAGCCAGCAGAGTCACTGGTGGCAGGGGATGGGCCATGCGAACTCTACCTGGATTACGCAACCACAGAGTTATCGCAGTTCTTTATTCAAGAAAATCGTTGTACTGCCAATCCTCAGTACATCGAGCAGATGGTCTTAAAAAGGAAAAATTGCTTCCAGGCCTAGGAAGATCAAGCTTGACAACTTTTTCAGCAAATGGTTGGTCTAGGAGAAGGAAATCTCTGGTCTCAAAACCTGTGTTGATAAGAGCTCATCAGTTGGGGCCAGCAGTCTATCTTGGAGAACGAAACTACGATTCCAAACTTCCGCTGCTTTGCAGCTAAACTACTTGAGGAAGGCCACAAAAAGGACACTTCTAACGAAAAACCAGGGGTAGATTATGCCCCTCAGCTGTGTTAGGGAAATTATCTACAAGAAGGAGACCTGGAAATGAAATTTATTGCAGAAGATGGATGTACTGGGCCAATGGTTCATATCAGCAGGATGATGCATCACATCTTGAAAATGGACAATCAACATGTAGATCTGAATTTCGTCAAATATTTTTTGAGCCCATGCAACTGGTACTACTTTATGAAACTACAATTTAAAGAATTTTTAACGATTTTGACTTAGTACATCAGGGGAGCTGACTGGTAATTGTCTTAGATGCTGTCTTTACTAAAATAATGAACCATTTCAAGATGTCTACCATTTGTGGTCTATACCCCTGCAGCGTTGATGTGTTGTGTTCCGTCTTACAGGAAGTTGCCGAACGTGGTTCAGTACCTGAGCTTCATGTTCTACTTCCATGGCGTCATGGTTGGACCTCTGACCTTCTACAATGACTACATCGCTTTCATAGATGGAACCCACTTCAAGAAGCCTGGTGGAAGCTCCACCAATGTGAGAATTTCTGCTTTTGCATTTGCCATATATATAGTTGTTTACATCTTTCCACTATGCGAGTGGTTAGTGGGAACTCTGATGTGCTTACTGTTAGTGGTGTTGGTAGTTAAATAGTGAGGCTGTTGGACTTATAATTGTGAAGTTGTGGGTTTGATGCTCAGCAGTGCCCGATGTTTTTTCTTTGCACCAAACATGAATTTTCCTCACTCTACCCTGATGGGAATTAGTGCCTGCGTTTAGACTGTTGACCCCTTCAATGCTGCAGGTAAATAGGCCCATGTACATTCTACATTGAACTACATTTCTATTGATATAATTTTGGGGGAATTTCATTGAGAGATAGAGGGAGGAAAGTTGGAGTTACTAACATGATGCTAAAAACAATACCACCAAACAAAACAAACAACACTCTTTCGAGTAATTGGTATCAAAACAACCACTGTCACAGTCCCGTAAATTCTACTGGCCATAGGCACAGCGCTACACGTTTCAGGCCCATAATTTCTACAGGCGCGGCAGCGAAGAGGTTAAAAATCTTGTCAGTTTTTGCTTTAGTGCTTAATCAGCTGTTTGCACTGTGTGCTTGTGTGCTTCAAGGGAAGTAGAGAATGGTTGTGGGTGTTCTCGGGTCCGCTAGGGTAATGATAGCTGTATAGCTCAGAATATAGCGTGCACCTGAGTGCAGTTTTTATTTTTTAAAATTTTATTATTATTAGGCTTATTATTAATTTAGTTTCGTAATGGGAAATGGAAGTTTGCTATATTGAGTATCTGTCTTTCTGCGTGGATGCTTTAATCCCTCACTTACTTATGTTTTCTTTATTGTTCTTTGTCTTGCTCTTTCTATATGACTGTTACTGTGACAGTGATGTGCTTCTGTTTACTCAAACTAAAATCATCAGTCTTTTGAGACAATTGGGTGGTTGGCAGGTGCTCTGATGTGGTCTGCTGCTTCTTCTTTTCTATCAAACATCTATCGTCCTTATCTCCCCTTCTTCTGTTTTATGTTTGTTACTCTCTTGTAACACCTCTAATCTTCTGACGCTCATATGACCTTATGCAGTTGCGAGCGCCGTCTTTGACATATACATGGCCAAACTGTGTTGCAAATGCCATAAAGCGCTTTGTTAAAAGAACTTAAATGCACATTGTGGTTGTGAATTCTTTAAACAATTATTGTCACAATCATTCTTGGGGTCCTTTGTTTCATGACCAAATTCTGTGTCTTTGTCTAGCTTGGGATAAACTTGTACAAAAGCTAAATAATATACTGTTTTAATGTCATCAGAGGATTTTTCCCTGTCATTTGACTGACATTCTCTATGATTTCATCCCCAGGCTGGATCTAAGAAACACCCTGCTGATGACCTCAATGTAAGAGCATGTGACTTGTAGTTGTTTCTCATATGCTGGTCTGATCTGGTTTTAGCTGGTTCTGGAACATTCAATGTGTGTGTGTTCGTACGTACGTGTGTGCTTAGTGCTATTTCCACTGTAATCGAAGTAGTATCGATTTGGTATTCTGACCTGGGATATTCTAAAGATCTACTTTCGCGTTTGTTACCACTCGGCAAGACTGATCAGTAAAACTTTTTTAGTTGTGTGTTCGCATCACGTGACATGACTTCGGCGTGTAAGCTCTGCCTGTGTTGGGGACCGTACGTTGACGTGGTCTCTTAAGTCCATGCATTTTGGTTGAGATGTCTTTCGGGACTTTGGGGGGCAGGGGGGGGGGTGACACTTGGAAGGGGAGTACTAAACATGATACTTCAGGATTAAAAAAACAAATAATGATTAAAGCACACACACCCACGGAGAGAGGGTATATATTTACGGACACCGCTGGAAAATTTTAAAGTCAGCTTGGCAGTCACCGTGGTGATTTATCGTTGATCCCGATTTTTTTCACCCAATCCCGATTTTTCCCCCCAGAGATCCTGTTTGTTAGATTTCATAGAGTGGCAGGTCTGTCTATGGCTGTAGGGCTTTATTGGTTAGTGCTGTATCTCTAGATGTATTGCTGTTCAGTTTGTGGAGTTGATCTCTGCTGCTGATGGTGCTAATACAACTTTGTTGTTGGTTCTTTCCCCCCTGTACAGCGCGTAGTCATCAAAAAGCTGGTTGTTGCATCTGCGTGCTGTTTGGGCATGATGATCTTGCCTGGGCTCTTCTTCCCTCCAGAGAAATTGAACAGTGAGTTGTCTGCTTGTTACATTATGTTGATTATTGTTAGTTGTTTGTCTTTTGTGTTGTGTTTCAAGCTACTGCTCTGCCCGTTACATAATGTTAATTATGTTGAATTGCCTGTTTCATTATAGTAGTGACTGGGAATTAGTGGGTGGTTGGTGGGTGCTCTGGTGTGGTTTGCTTCTTCTTTCCTATCAAACATCTTTCGTCCTTATCTGCTCTCCTTCTTTTTTATGTTTGTTACTCTCTTGTAACACCTCTAATCTTCTGGCACTCATATGACCTTATGCAGTTGCGAGCGCTGTAAAGCCTCTACAAAAAAACAACAACATTATGTTAGTCACTGGGAATGACCTGTTACATTATGATAATTATTGTGAGTTGTCTGCCTTTTGTGCTGCATTCTCGGCCACTTGTCCACACTTTTAACGTTGAGTCAGCTGTGAGATGTCTACCCTTTTTGCGTTATATGAAGTGGGTGATAGGTTGTTTCTGATAGGTTCTGCTTCTTTATTTTCCATCTGTTCTTTTTGTATTCCTGGCCTTGCTTTTCCCCTGCACTAACTTACTGTTGGTGTGCTGGTGTGCTTCTCTTCACACAAAAGTGGGTGGTTGGCGGGTGCTGTGGTGTGGTTTGCTCATTCTTTTCTACCAAATGTTTCTCGTCCTTATCTCTTCTTCATTTTTTGTGTTTGTTACTCTCTTGGAACAACTCTACTCTTTGACACTTATATGACATTATTGTGTGCCAAGTGCTGAAAGGTGGGTGGTTGGCGGGTGCTCTGGTGTCGTTTACTTCTTCTTTCCTATCAAACATTTATCATCCTTATCTCTCCTAGTCCCCCTGAGCAATGCTGCTGACTGAAGTGTCTTAAGGCCATTCCCAAAGAGGGGATATTAACATGTTCGTATGCACAGTAGAATTGTAAATGGGCTGACTTATCAATGCCATGCTCATACTGCGCCGAAACAACATGGGGGAACTGCTGCTTTTTCTTTCTCATCCTTACTATTGTCATTTTCCTCTACTTCTTTTGTGTGTTTGTCACTTTCTTGGGAACTGTTATTTCCGGGGGCTTTGATAGTCAAAGCAGACTTTGTGCTGTTGAGGCTAGAGAGGTGAGAAGAGAAAACCTGATTCCCTGTTTGGACTTCTCTGTTGACCACCACCCCATATGCAGTTGCGTGCGCCGTAAAAACCTTACTAAAACTAAACTAAAAAGCTATTGCTCCTCCTTCTATTTTGTGTTTGTTACTCTCTTGTAACACCTCTAATCTTCGGCCCTTATATGACCTTATTGTGCTGCAAGTGCCGTAAACTCTTACCAAACTAATAAACTAAAATGACACTTTTAACTCACGTCTTTGTTATCTGTTTTCCCTTTGTTCAGCCCCGGAATACTACAACATGACCTTCATGGAGAGGATGATCTTTGTGTTGGGAGTCATGACGCTGGCCAGGAACAAGTACTACTTTGCCTGGGTGTTGGGTGAGGAGATATGTGTGTCTGTGTAGACTTTAGGAATTAGCCCTACTTTTTCTGGTTGTTGAGTGAGAAGATACATATGTCATATGTGTGTTTAGAGCATATAAAATCACAACAAAAAAAAATAAATTCTGAACGTCTTACTGTTTGCATTTGTGTCATCATAGGTATATCCGAAAGAAATGAAAAGATATGAAAAACTTTCCATTTTCATATTTTAATTCATTTTTTTTGCAAATTTTGGCAAACAAAGATTCAGGAGGTTCAGTTTGACTCATGATGCATGCTAGTGGTTCAAAATACCAGATATCTTTCGTACATAAGCACGATGACACATAGTGGATAAATGTTTGTCGTCGTTCTGGAACATATGATCAATTTACATCAAATTTTCCCCTCTCTTTGACATCTAGCCAAGCACTCGTGGTTGCATGTAGATCTACCTCTACTTGACCATTTGAACGCAGTGCGATGTTAACCATTACTTGTTTAAATTTTCTAACATTACATGTTAAGATTTGATGACGACACAGGAAGACTTAAATGGATTTGTCTCATCTATCGTTATTCTTCTCGCCGTCTAACTTGGCACAACAGTACACTTTGAATGGATCGACAGGAACAGTGCACTTTACTCCAACCCTATTATTTCTCATTTTTTAAAATTGTTTTTTTTTTACGAACATAACAAATGATGACAGGACACGAGGTGTTGCGGAATTTCCGTTTTCTGCAAAATTACATACGATCACATTCTTGGAATCTGTCAGTCAGGGCAGAGAGTAAACATTGAACAATATTATGCTCATTCTAGGGCATTTCTAGTAAAAATTCAGACATGTCTTTGATGGTGTGGATGAAATGAATAACTTACAACGGATTTATTGAGTACACACACGAAAAAAAGAAAGATTTTGTTGGTTAGCCAGTCTTATCACACAGGCTGTGTTATGCTGTGTGTGGCATATCTTCTTATTGTGAACTTAACATGTAAATTGTTTTGTTCTTGTACATATAAATTGTTTTTATCTTTTTTTTCTTAGCTGATGCCATCAACAACGCTGCTGGTCTCGGTTTCAGCGGTTATGATTCTCAGGGAAATCCCAAGTGGGACCTCACAGATAATGTAGATATTTTGGGAGTTGAGGTAAGAGGTGGCTCTTGTTTCCTGCTCTCTCCTCCCTCTCCTGTATTCATAAGTTCTATTTTTGGATGCTTACTCTCTTGTCATCTTCTGGAACACAGAAATGTGACGACCTCTTTGTTATCTGCTTAACTGTTCCAGCTACGTGTATAACAGCAATGATAGTTTTATTTATTTACAGACATCTATGATGTGATCGTTAACCTCTTTGCCATTGCCTGCAAAAGATGTGTTTTGATCCAAAAATGGGTGGTTGGCAGGTGCTCTGTTGTTGTTTGCTTTCTTTCCTATAAAACGTGTATCGTCCTCATCTCTCATCCTTGTTTGTGTTTGTAACTCTCATGCAACACCCCTAATCTTTGGCACATATATGACTTAATTGTGTTTGAATCTGCATCTCAAGCCGACATGTTGCTGTCTGAGCTTCATATTTACGAAATGAAAGTAGTCTATGGGTGGTTGCTGGGTTCTCTGGTGTGGTTAGCTCCTTTTCTATCAATTATTGGGCATCCTTATCTCTCTCCACTCCTCATTTTCTGTATATGGTACCTTCTAATAACACCTATAATCTTTGGAACGTGTACGACCTAATTGTGTTGCATATGCTGTGAAACTCATAGGAAAACCAAAGTTCGTCAATGGCATGACATTGCCTGGTCAGGATGATGCCATTTTAGCTTCATATTGATAAAAGGGTAATACAGTCGGGCACAGATAGCAGGAATATGTAAAACTCAAAACATGGGTAGCTACGTTAGCTCGTACAATTTGCCATTTCCTGACCAATATCTCTTTAATTTTTTGGTTATTAGTTTACCCGGGTTAGGAATGTGTCGAACAGATTTATTAATTTCCTATGTGTTTGAGTTATTTGTGTCTGACTGCATATGGCTTGTTAGGTGTGTAATCACTCAGGCATGCAGTGGGTGGTACGCTGGTGCTTAGGTGAGGTTTGCTACTACTTTGTCATCAAGCAGCTATTGTCCTGATCTCTCCTCTTTCTTTTTCGTATTTGCTACTCTCATGTAACACCTAATCTTTGGCACTGAAATGGCCAAATTATGTTGCAGATGCTGTAAAACTCTTTTATTGAAATGAATTATTTCGATTGTATATGGCCTGTCAGGAGTATCTCTCGGCTGTCATATTTGTCATATTCGCTCTTGTGTCATATTTCAGCTCTCTACCAGTCTCAAAGTGAATATTGACAGCTGGAACAAGAAAACGCTTATCTGGCTACGTCGTGTGGTCTACGATCGCGCTCCGCCCTCCAACAACACGCTGGCCGTGTTTGCCTGCAGTGCCTTCTGGCACGGGTTCTACCCCGGTTACTACCTCACCTTTGGCGGTGGGGCCTTCATGACCGTTGTGGCGAGACAGGTGAGTTTGTGTGTGTGTGT